AAACAGTCGTTTGATATAGATTTCAGTTTAACTTTATTACCAAGTATATTATATATACGCATTTCGTCTATTAACTCTTTCTCTCCGTAATTATTTGCCACATACTAGAGGAATCAACGTTGGTATCGTCAGTTAGGAGAGAAAGAGTTAAAAGGGTAGTGTTCTGTAATGGCACATTTAGCAAGATTTAGGTAATTATAGCTCTATTATTCGATCTGCCCACTATATGTGTCATGTTGGCACAATTGAAATCATAGTTAAGTTAGCAAAGTTAGCTTTCAGTGGCGTAGCTAGGGTGGGGGGAGGAAGGGGATATATTAAAAATCCCCCCTGGCCCCCACTAGAGGGTGCCCCCAAATGAGTGTTTTTTACATTAAAAATTAAATATTACGCAAAATGCAGGGACCCCAAACGTGTCAAGCCCACGGGGCTTGATGAAAAATTCACAGCTACGCCCCTGTTAGCTTTCAGGCCTCTAATTTAAGTCAAGCTGTTTGTTTTAAGTTCATGTTGATGATATTTATGCATTTGGGCAATGACTACTCTATTAAAATACGACTCACATTGATAATATTTAGTAAATTGGTACACACTAGGGCTCTATTTAGCCAATTTTGCTACTATTTATTTCACGAATTCTCAGTACTAGTACATATAAATGGCAGTATTATGTTATTGTAAGTACCATTTAGACCATGTCGGATGTGTTTTGGCAGAGTCGGCAAAATAAAGGACATGTTGTTTGTAAAATGTTTTACAATTTTTCTGATATTCCTTCAGAGTTGAAGATAGTTTACTCAATAGTCCTAGTCCTAGTTATGTTTAAACAATAGATGTCAGTACTACAAAAGCCATGTCCTTACTACAAAGGCCATGTCCTTACTACAAAGGTCATGTTGTTGCTACAAAGGCCATGTCAGTACTACAAGGGCCATGTCAGTACTACAAAGGCCATGTCCTTACTACAAAGGCCATGTCATTAATACAAAGGCCATGTCCTTACTACAAAGGTCATGTCAGTACTAAAAAGGTCATGTCAGTACTACAAAAGCCATGTCAGTACTACAAAGGCCATGTCAGTACTACAAAGGCCATGTCATTATTACACAGGCCATGTCAGTACTAAAAAGGTCATGTCTGTACTACAAAAGCCATGTCAGTACTACAAAGGCCATGTCAGTACTACAAAGGCTTGTCAGTACTACAAAGGCCATATCATTACTACAAAGGCCATGTCATTACTACAAAGGCCATTTATGTACTACAAAGGCCATGTCAGTACTACAAAGGTCATGTCAGTACTACAAAGGCCATGTCAGTACTACAAAGATCATGTCACTACTACAAAAGTCATGTCAGTACTACAAATCCATCTCATTACTACAAAGGTCATGACAGTACTACAAAGGTCATATCAGTACTACAAAGGCCATGTCATTACTACACAGGCCATGTCAGTACTAAAAAGGTCATGTCAGTACTACAAAAGCCATGTCAGTACTACAAAGGCCATGTCAGTACTTCAAAGGCCATGTTGTTACTACAAAGGCCATGTCAGTACTACAAAGGCCATGTTGTTACTACAAAGGCCATGTCAGTACTACTAAGGCCATGTAAGTACTACAAAGGTCATGTCATTACTATAAAAGCCATGTCATTAATACAAAGGTCATGTCAGTACTACAACGCCATGTCATTACTACAAAGGTCATGTCAGTACTACAAAGGTCATGTCAGTACTACAAAGGTCATGTCATTACTACAAAGGCCATATCATTACTACAAAGGCCATATCATTACTACAAAGGCCATATCATTACTACAAAGGCCATGTCATTACTACAAAGGCCATTTATGTACTACAAAGGCCATGTCAGTACTACAAAGGTCATGTCAGTACTACAAAGGCCATGTCAGTACTACAAAGATCATGTCACTACTACAAAAGTCATGTCAGTACTACAAATCCATCTCATTACTACAAAGGTAATATCAGTACTACAAAGGCCATGTCATTACTACACAGGCCATGTCAGTACTAAAAAGGTCATGTCAGTACTACAAAAGCCATGTCAGTACTACAAAGGCCATGTCAGTACTACAAAGGCCATGTCATTATTACACAGGCCATGTCAGTACTAAAAAGGTCATGTCTGTACTACAAAAGCCATGTCAGTACTACAAAGGCCATGTCAGTACTACAAAGGCTTGTCAGTACTACAAAGGCCATATCATTACTACAAAGGCCATGTCATTACTACAAAGGCCATTTATGTACTACAAAGGCCATGTCAGTACTACAAAGGTCATGTCAGTACTACAAAGGCCATGTCAGTACTACAAAGATCATGTCACTACTACAAAAGTCATGTCAGTACTACAAATCCATCTCATTACTACAAAGGTCATATCAGTACTACAAAGGCCATGTCATTACTACACAGGCCATGTCAGTACTAAAAAGGTCATGTCTGTACTACAAAAGCCATGTCAGTACTACAAAGGCCATGTCAGTACTACAAAGGCTTGTCAGTACTACAAAGGCCATGTCATTACTAGAAAGGCCAGGTCAATACTACAAAGGCCATGTCTGTACGACAAATGCTATGTCAGTACTACAAAGGCCATGTCAGTACTGTACTACAAAGGCCAGGTCAGTACTACAAAGGCCATGTCAGTACTACAAAGGCCATGTCATTACTACAAAGGCCATGTCAGTACTACAAAGGCTTGCTAGTACTATAAAGGCCATGCTAGTACTGCAAAGGCCATGTTAGTACGAAAAAGTCCAAGTTAGTACTACAAAGATCATGTTTAATTTAAAATAACCATTTTAGTACTACAAAGGCATGTTAGTACTACAAAGGCAGTGATAGTAGTACAAAGGCCATGTCAGTACTACAAAGATCATTTTAAAACTAAAATGGCCATGTTTGTACTACAAAGGCTGTGTTAGTACTACAAATGTCATGTTTAACACAATAGATTCCATGTTAGTTTTACCAAGACCTGTTAGTGCTTTAAAGCCCAGAATGAAACTATCGATGACATGTTTGCACTACAAAAAGCCATGTTATTGATGCCATTTTTATACTACTATAGGCTCTGTTGTTCCTATTTAGGGCCAAAATGGCTTTGGTGAAATAAGTAGACCCAACTAAAATTAGACTACACAGATAAAAAGTTTATATATCCAAATAACAAATACGATTCTATGTAAATTAGTCCTTCAGTTTTCACAGATATAGCTAAATATGTAGGGTCTCGTTCCCTTCTAGAATCGAACGCCCGTTTTCGGATCAAGTTGAAACTTTAAACAATTATTTTTGCACCGAAAAAACATAAAGCAATGAAAAAAAAAAAAAAACAACTATTAGTCAATTAATAAGTAGTCATTAATTTTTCAGACATCATGTAAGGGAACTAACCTCTACGCTATTAAAATATAAGTGTGGAGTTATTCCCTTAGATAAGCTTTTTTTAAAAATTAAGTTTACATCATAACATTCACTTCATGTTAATTGTTATTAATGCGTTTGTTTCTTCTCTTCAGATAAATGCCAAAGTACATCGCTGTAAGTCGCCGGAACAAGTTGTTGGCAGGGCTGACATTGCTTCTTGTCTGTGTCGTCTGGTACGTTTATCCTGGGAGTGATCAAGACTCAGGATTACAAATCTTACAGATTCAAAGCCGTTCGCCCAGCAGACGTGACCTTGTCGTAATTTTAAACCATTTCATCAAAGACTCGGGCAAAAATTTTGGCTTTCTTGGCGACAATGTCGACAAACTGTTTCCTGTCTTCGAGCAGTTGGATAACGACACGCTGGTAGTGAAGCAGACGATTGTTTCTTTCCTGGCTCAGCCAATCATCAACGATCATGCATTTACCTATTTGCATAACCCTCACCGCGCATGCGCAAGTGGTGACCTTGACATTCTTTTTGTGATTCCTTCGTCTCCTGATAATTTTGAGAAGCGGAGCATCCTACGAACAGGAAACTACGGAGAATATGTACAGAACGTAGACAACAAGGCCAAGCTTTTGTTTTTCATCGGAAAGCCTAGCACCATGGAGATTCAAAATAAAATCGATATAGAATCGAATACATATAACGACATCGTTCAGGAATCGTTTGACGATATCTATAAAAACATACGTTACAAAGCGGTATCGATGCTGAAATGGGCCAGCACGTTTTGTCAGCAGACGTCGTACGTTATACGAAACGATGACGACATACAAGTAGACCTGTCAGCGGTGGTCAAAGCCATGAAACGAAGCCATTCTAAATATGCCAATTTTGTTTTAGGGCGGGTCCGTCTTAATGACGTGCCTTGCAGAAACGCGTCGGCGAAGCCTTATTTGTCCAAAAAGGACTATCCCGACGCGCATCTGCCGCCTTTCGCTCTGGGGGGACTTCTAGGGTATCCGATATTAACTGTGGAGCTGCTGTACCAAGCAGCGTTAAGAGTGAAGCCTATCTGGTTAGATGACGTGTTCATTACTGGAATGTGCGCGCCAAAAGTTGGCGCGAAACTACTGAGCGATCCTGCTATGATGTTTACGCACAATGGTAAAATAGCGGAGTGATACAATAGTGAACAGTAGGCAGACATTTAACTTTTTAATCAGGAACCGGACTACATGGCTGGTCATAGGAGTAGTATAAGATACGCTACAAAGCAGTCATCAAGGGAGGACAATCAAGGAGGAACAAAGCCTATGAAAGGGAAATATACGCTCAAAAAAACAAAACCTAGCTGAAAATGCATTTTACGAAACAGTCTGTAAATAAATGGCTTTATAACACGAAATAGGGAATTTCTAAGGCAAGGCTACTTTTTCTAGTACTTCAACAAATATGTGCCTGGAAATGTTAGAAACCTGCTTTTGTTTATGTTTGGGAACAATGCCTCTCATGGAGTCACAGAATATTCTGTTTATCTCCACTAGGGTATTTAGCAGCACAAATACTATCTACGACGCAGTACCATATAGTATTGTGTGTAAAAAGAAATAAATTGATATTAAGATATTTAAAAAGTTTAAGTATCAGGTTTGGTTTAAACTGCCTTGATTATATACACATTCTTATTTACTCAGTTTGCTGATTTGTTCTAGTGAGTTTAAACCACAAGGTGTAAGGATTGAATTCGATTGATAGATAAATGGAATTGGATTAAACGACGGACATTTTCATCCTGAGTTCAATGCCGGCCAATCAGGTGATGACCCCATTTCCTCTCAACGCAGCCCGCCATGACACTATCTCAACAGTCCCAACACCTGCTCAGCTTGGTCAATATGTTAATGCTTTGGGCCCAAACTAGCACCCCTAAACGGGGATGAAGAACTGGTCATCCAGAGATCTCTGACAATAACAAAACTAGCGGTTTTGAACGAAAACAATGGACCAACACAAAATCAAAAGGAACATTACTAAAATAGAGTTGCTTCTATAGCATCTTCATCAGAAATTGTAAAAACAACAACAACAATGTTTTAATTAATATAATATGATAGTTCAAACACAAAGTATTAATGCACAGTATGTGTACCGCCACAAATTTTCATCTTTGGCAGAAAAAAAGGATAACTATTAAAAAAAAAGCCAGATTTTTACAAAGTTTACAGTAACTTACTCTACTTGTTTATTTGTCTGGAGCAACTTCTGTGCATGCTATTTCTCCCACGACCATTCCCGGATCAATTATACATTGTACACTTTTATTTATTGTCTTTAATAAAACATGACTCAATAAAAAATTTAACAAATTAGTTAATTAATTTTTTTTTTATTCTGTATCTAAAGAGGGAAATAATTCTGACAGTATTGAAAGATGTAGCTGCATTTGAGTGGATTCATTCCCCTATTAGGTGTAGTAGGCATTATTTTTCCCAATTCCCATTATTGGATCACGTTAAAATTTTGCATAATTAATCATAGTCGATGGCTATGCATAAAAAAATGCAAATATTACTCAATTAATTAATCGTTTAGTGGTAATTGGTTGATTTTATTTTATGTAGCACTACAAACAGCGATGTCCTTGCGAACGCCGGTATAGGGACTTCTTATGGTCCGACAGTTACGTGGGCAGGGTACGTATCCAGTATGGGAAGCGAACGCATGCCAAAGGCAGTCTTTTTTGGTAAGCTAAAAGGTGGTCGACGTAGCAGAAGCGCCCCCACGGAAACGCTTCAAAGACCAGTTCAAGCGTCAACTTTCCTTGGCTGACATAGAAGAGAGCACCTGGTTGCATGCGGCCTCAGAACGAGACAGCTGGACGTCACTCACGAAGGCCGCGGGATACACATTTGAGACCAAAAGAAAATCCACTGCCGAGGACAAACGCAGACGGCGAAAAGAAAATCTGACTCGACCACCTGTGGACAATGATTATGCTTGCTCTGGGGTGGCAAAATATGTAGGTCACAGCTAGGGCTGCGCAACCACGGGAAATACTGCACTCCTCACTAATCTACGGACTCGAAGACAAGCCTTATTATATATCTATCTCTATCTATCTCTCTCTATATATATGTATGTATATATATATATATATATATATATATATATATATATATATATATATATCAATGATTTTAAGGTAATTTCCCAGAGAAACGAATTGTTTTATTTAAAAGTTAAAAGAAAAAGTTTTTTTTTCCTATCCAGTGTAAAGAAGAAAGGAAGTCTAGATCAGCGTTACTGTGGGTTGCGTGATCGTCTAAGTGTACTTGACTTGACTTGGCTACCTCTGAGGGGTTTCGACACCCGACTCGAGCAGAGTGGTGTTTACTGAGCGCCTAACGGCAGCACCGAAAACCCCTCGACCCCCTCTCTTCCCTCCACTGGTCCCCTAATGAGATTGGACGATAGCGCTCTGGGGCTTAAAAGTAGCGGTACGTAAAAGCTGTAATAATTGAGTATTCCTATTCTTGTACGCTTTGTATTTATCACTGCATAATCATTTTCCCAACCTCTTTTGTTTCTGGCTCATTCATTGTTTAGTTTCACGTGAGGATAAAGTATTTATCTTCTCATTTCTCGATACCGGCAGAGATAAATTGTCATTGAAGGCCTGAACACTGACCTGCAACGTCACAATCTGTGGGCAGTTTAGACCAAATAGCTTGTTGCCGCGTCACAGGCCTATACCACGTGACATCGTGCTATTGGTCTAACCAGCCCACAGGTTATGACGTTTGTTGTTACCGCCCGTTGACCCATAGCACCGAACTGCTGTGAGACAACTAAACCGTTGTAGGCGTAATATATCCAAACTTCCTTTAGAACAAAGAACTTTATTTATAATATAGACCAATCAACTTGTGATAAATAAAATAATTGTAGTAGAATTCAGTAATAATATTCTTTAACAAAATCTAACTCTCTGCGATAACACAATCTTTCGTTTTACATTCTGGAGTCGTCTCCCCTAACTAAGATCACGTGACAATGCCAAATATCTTGCATCGTTCACAGCCAATCGCTAATCTCCTCCCGTCGTCACCACAGAAACACACACACACATACCATGACAAAGTTACAGTTAGTGTAGCGGACTTCTAATACAACTGGTCTCGTATAGAGCGCGAGAAAGTAAAAATTCCCAAAACAAATGACATTCTTGGAAACACACACACTTTTCTCTTTCGCTTTAATACCTGGTCACACACCAAGCTGCGCACACCTGGCACTGACTACCATTCATAAGATTAAAAGCCAGACTCGGTCAATCAATGATAAATGTCATATGACCATGTCAGGGAAAGGGACGTCACTTCCATCTCACAGTGTATCTGAAAAGATCAATCCTAGATCGATACGGGGAATCGTAAAGCCTGCGCTATTGTCCAACAGCAAAAGAAGTTTCGGCTTTATTACTACGTGAACTGCACTCGATTCCAATTAATGTTAAGTAGGATCTAAGACACCCAACCTGTTCTTCCTTTACATTTATTGATCTCGTGTCACTTGCCTCTTGGTGTGGACGGTCGTTGGCTTGTAACACAAAAGCGCTGGTAGACATCTAAACCACTGTGTGAGTATTATATCTTAATTTATATAAGCTTGAAAGAACTTGAAAAAATTCCCTGTCAATAATGAGGACCAAAAGAAAATCTGCTGCTGAGGACAAACGCAGACGGCGAAAAGAAAATCTAAATCGACCACCTTCGGGCAATGGCTATACATGCCCTGGATGCAAAATATGTAGGTCACAGCTGGGACTGCGCAGCCATGGGAAATACTGCATTCCTCACTAATCTTCTAGCCTTATTATTATTATCATTATATATATATATATATATATATATATATATATATATATATATATATATATATATATATATATATATTAAATCTAACTTTTATTCACGATGCAGACACCGCCATGAAGACGACGAAACGGTTAACTATCTGCTTTACAAGTGCGATACTATCCATCCATCCATCCATCCCAGTGGCGCTACAGCCCATGGAGGGCTCTGGCCTGCTTTAACACATCCTTCCATTCAGATCTCTCCTGGGCCTTTCGTCTCCACGCCCTAACCCCAAGCTGCTTCAGATCTGCTTCCACTTCATCTATCCATCGCATTCGGGGTCTGCCTTTGGGTCGCCTGCCTTTTGGTTTTTGCCTGTAAACAATTTTCGCTCCTCTGCTGTCTGACATTCTTTCAAGGTGACCTGCCCAACGTAGTCTGTTCTTTTTTATTTCGTTCACTATTGGTGGGTCTTCATACAATTGATATAACTCATGGATAGTGCGTGTCCTCCACCCTGTTTCATCCTGTATGGCACCATAGATTTTCCTAAGAATTTTTCTTTCCCAAGTGTTAAGTAAATTTTCAGATGTCTTTGTCAGTGTCCAGGTCTCACTTCCATACATTGCTGCAGGTCTTATTATGGTTTTGTATATTATTTTCTTGGTTTTCCTTGAAATCGTTTTGCTCTTAAGTAAATGGTGGGTGCTATAAAATGCCCTGTTGCCTCCTGCTATTCTTTCCTTTATTTCTGTTAGTAGATCATTTTTGAAATTAATAGTACTTCCTAGATATTTGAAAGTTTGGACGTTTTCAAATTCGTGGTCTTTGATTTGGATATTTTGTCCCTCTGTTTGATTGTCTCTTGTCATTGTGATGTACTTGGTTTTACTGTCATTGACCTCAAGTCCTGCTGGTCGAGATGGTTCTTCTAGTTGTATGAAGGCTCTGGCGATGTCAGAGGTTTCTTTACCCAATAAGGCAATGTCATCAGCATAAGCAAGGTATTGTAGAGGTTGGCTGTATATCGTCCCTGTTGGTTGTGGACCCGTGTTTTCTCTCCTGAAGTAGTTATTAATAGTTCCCCTTGTGTTTATGTGTATATTTCTTATAACTCTCTCCAGTGTCAAATTGAAAAGCATGCAGGAAAGTGCGTCTCCTTGTCTTAATCCTCGTTTAATCCTAAATTCCCGTGAGTGTTCTCCTTGTATTATGACTTTGCTTTTTGAGTTGTTTAATGTCACATGTATAAGTCTTGTCAGCTTGTTGGGTATTCCAAAATCCTGTAAAGTGTCATATAGGTATTTCCTTCTGATACTGTCATAAGCCATTTTATAGTCTATAAAGAGTTGGTGGATTGGTATGTTGTATTCATGGCATTTTTCTAGTATACATCTTAGTGTGAAGATGTGGTCGGTTGTGGATTTGTTGGGTCTGAAACCACATTGGTAGTCACCTAAGATTTCTTCTGAATATTTTCCAAGTCTCTTAGTTATAAGCCTAGACAGTATCTTATAAGTCACATTTAGTAGAGAGATTCCTCTGTAATTACAGCACTTTAACTTGGATCCTTTTTTGTGTATTGGGGTTATAAGAGCCGTTTCCCATTCTGTTGGTATTACTTCTTCTTCCCAAACTCTTGATATTAGTCTGTGTATTTGGGAATGTAAGTCTTTCCCTCCATATTTAATCAGTTCTGCTGTGATTTGGTCCTCTCCTGGTGCTTTGTGATTCTTCATGGTCCTAATTATTTCTGATGTTTCAATGAGTGTTTGAGGGTTCACTAAAGGATCTGGTCCCCCATGTGGCAGTTCATATTCTCCATTGTCTCCATCTTTAGTGGTATTTAGGATCTCCTCAAAGTATTCAGCCCATCTATCAATGACCCTGCTGTTTTCTGTGATAAGGTGACCATCTTTGTTCTCACACATGTGTGATCTAGCTTGAAATCCGTTCTTTTCATCTTTAATTTTCATATACATTCCTCTCATGTCTCCCTCCTTTGCTAGTTCCTCAATTTGACTTGGACTTTTCCCATTCCCGTTTTTTCTTTCTTACAACTTTTGTGGCCCTTCTTCTTGCTTCATTGTATTGCTGTCTAGTGTTCCTGGTTTCTCTTCTTGCTTCATTGTATTGCTGTCTAGTGTTCCTGGTTTCTCTTCTTGCTTCATTGTATTGCTGTCTAGTGTTCCTGGTTTCTCTTCTTGCTTCATTGTATTGCTGTCTAGTGTTCCTGGTTTCTCTTCTTGCTTCATTGTATTGCTGTCTAGTGTTCCTGGTTTCTCTTCTTGCTTCATTGTATTGCTGTCTAGTGTTCCTGGTTTCTCTTCTTGCTTCATTGTATTGCTGTCTAGTGTTCCTGGTTTCTCTTCTTGCTTCATTGTATTGCTGTCTAGTGTTCCTGGTTTCTCTTCTTGCTTCATTGTATTGCTGTCTAGTGTTCCTGGTTTCTCTTCTTGCTTCATTGTATTGCTGTCTAGTGTTCCTGGTTTCTCTTCTTGCTTCATTGTA